GCACGCATCGCTCACTCTTTACAAAACGTCCAGGTGAAGCCGACTGACTCGATACGGCTATATGTGTGCTCGGCATCGTGCGGACGGCTGAACCGAGGGGTAGCACGGACAGAGGTAACATTGGCTCATCGCCAGGGGCTGGTCAGCAGCAGATGCTGTCCCTGGGCTGGGAACTTATGCCAAAGAGGAAAACAGAAATGTTTCTAGTGAAGCTAGGATGGAAAGAGGAGGATACGGCTCAGGCTGTGCCAGGACGCCACAGGTGGCATACTGAATATATGAGACTATGTGAGCTGATATGCAAAGGTGTGCAAAGGAAAAGACCCCTGAACAGTACTTGAACATGCACCAAAGGTCTCAAAGCACTAACTGTGGTCAGTGACAGCTCACAAAACAGGGAAGTATTATCGTCTTTATTTTATAGTGGAGAAAAGCCTAAGTGCACCAGGAATTAAACACACCAGAAAATAAAACCATCAGCTACCAACTGGCTACTGCAATCTGGATCTCTAGTTGCTTGAAGACAAACAACGTGCTAGCATCTCCGCTTGCCAAATCCCACTGTGCTCAGATACCACCTTGCTTAGTGATTATACTGCTTAAGGAGTTCCTGCTCTACCAGGTGGATGCTAATGAAAGTTGCCCGTTCTATCAGTAAGAGCTAAATACATGTACATATACATACATACATACACATATATATGTATATTTAAAATTGACAATGGTTTGAACACTAGCCCATTGAGAGGGTGAGTGTGGGAGCAAAAGGCCTTTGTCCTGATGGATTCGCTGATTTGATTGCGAGCACCAGAGTGCCTAGAAGCTCCACAATTTAAGAGGACTCATTTCAGTTGGCGCAACCCAAACAGAAGGAGGAAAGGACAGCAGTGCTAATATTCTCTGTTCAGCCACTCTTGACTGGTCATTAAGTCCAGTATCGGTGCAATAACATTTGTCAAACAGACAGTGACCATTAGTAAATGAGCACAGAGACCAAAAAAATTACATTTAATTTAAAATTGCCCAATTGGGCTTGAATGGGAGGCCTTGAGGTGAAAGGCCACCTTATTAGGAAAAAAGAATTCATAACAGGGCTTCAGTCTATTAGCAAGTGAGATAATATTTTAACTAACTGTAATCCTGCTTGATTCAGTTAAGCACTGTGGGGGGACCCTGTTCTCTCTGAGCCAGCAAAGGAGCTGACAAGAGCCTGCAATGCAAGAACAGCCCTACCACAATTTTGTAATCAATCAATCAGTCCTGTTTAGGCAGCACCAAAATGCAAATGGCACTATGTGGACACATGAAAGACAACAAGCGCACAGGGTGGGCAGCTTCTGTGCCCCAGACCATGGGAGAGCAGGGCATCACCACTTTGTCATGTTTTCCTGGGGTGAGTAGGTGCAGCGCAGCATGGTATGAACCAAGCAGCCCATCCATGAACTGAAGAGCCTGCTTGAAGAATATAAACCACTAATACTAGCTAAAGGCAAGCGTGAAATACAGGGAAGGAAGCAGTGGGAGAATGTGGAAAGGCTTCTGGGCTCATCTAATTCTTTACCCCAACCCACAGAATGCAACAAAACTCTTTAAAAGAGCATAGTTGACCTTGGCTATCATCCTTCTCCATCCTCACTTGCTGACTTTTTTCCAAAGATACCAG